ACAAGGCACATGAGGGATGAGCAGGTGATCCAAGACAGCCAGCATGGCTTTACCAAGGGGAGGTTGTGCCTGACCAAGCCTTCTATGATGGAATGACAACACTGGTGGACAAAGGGAAGGCCATCAGTGTCATCTACCTGCATTTGTGGAGGCCTTTGACATGGTCACTCGTCACATCCTTATCTCTAAATTGGAGAGATACAGATTTGAGGGGCGAACTATTCGGTGGATAAGGAATTGGTTGGGAGGCTGCACACAGGGGGTTGTGGCAAATGGCACTGAGTCCAGTGGAGGATGGTGATGAGCGATGTCCCCCAGGGGTCTGCCTTGGGACGGTGCCTTCAACATCTTCATCAATTACGAGCCCGACTGCACTCTCTGCAAGTTTGCTGACGGCAGCAAGCTGAGTGGTGCAGCTGACGTGTTAGAAGGAGGCGATGCCATCCAGAGGGACCTCAACAAACTCAAAAAGTGGGTCGATGTGAAGCTAACGAAGATCAACATAGCAAAGTGCAAGGTTTTGCACTTGAGTTGAAATAATCCCAGATACAGACTGGGGAAAGAACTCCGTGAGAAAAGCTCTGTGGAGAAGGACCTGAGGGTCCCGGTAGATGAAAAACTGACCAGGAGCCAGCAGTGTGGAAGGCTGATGGTATCCTGGGCTCCATCAGAACAGGAGCAGCCAGCAGAGACAGGGCGGGGATTGTCCCTCTACTCTGCCCTTGTGAGGCCCCAACTGGCGTACTGAGCCCAGGTCTGGGGCCCCCAGTATAGGAAAGATGTGGAGCTGTTGAAGAGGATCCAGAGGAGGGCCACAACGATGCTCACAGCGCTGGAATACCTCCCCTACGAGGACAGGCTGAGGGACCTGTTCAGCCTGGAGAAGAGAAGGCTGCGAGGAGACCTCATTGCAGCCCTGAAGCATTTAAAAAGAGATCATAGAAAGGAGGGGAATCAACATCTAAAAAGGTAGACAGTGATAGGACAAGGGGGAACGGGTTCAAGTTCAAGGAGGGAATTGGATGTCGGGGGGAGGTTCTTTACAGAACGAGTAGCGAGGTGCTGGAACAGTCTGCCCAGAGGCTGTGGATGCTCTGCTCTTGGAAGCGTTCAAGGCCAGGTTGGATGGGGCCCTGGGCAGCCTGGGCTGGTGCCAGATCTGGAGATCGGTGGCCCTTCTTGTGGCAAGGGGATGGGAACTTGATGATCCTTGGGATCCCTTCCAGCCCAAGCCATTCTATGATTCCATTCTACGATTCTGTGATAGTGTACCAAGATAGAAAGGTGTTCATTGTGGCATAATAAGCAAAGGAAATTTCCTAAACTGGGGGAAAATAGCTAAGAGGTCAGCCAAGGACACTGGGAAGAAGCTGATGATGGGAAAAAAATGAAGATGAAGTAAAGGGAGAGATGACTCCCAAAGCTATCTTTTATGCTTGCCCAGAGGGACATAAGCATATATTAATGAGTTCTTGGAAAAGAATGAATTCATATGCAAATGTATTGTCTTTACTGTTTAAAGGTAACACCTGAACTCCAAGAGGGCGCGTTTGATTTGCCATGCCTGGTACATGCAGAGAGAGTAAAGAAATGCCAGTTTTCCAGCACCGCATGGGAGCTAGAGGGTTTTCTTCTCAGATTTTTCCAGTGACGTAACTATCTCAGGAAATGAAGCACAACGACCACATCACCTTAGTTACAGTTAGCGTTTATGTGTGTATGTAGTTTCTCACCCATTTTTCTTTTAACAGAAAGGAGGCAACACTTTAAAAAAAGGATGACCCCTCCATATTCATGCATATCTCCAATCGTGCCTATCTTCTGCAGTGAAGTCTAAATGCCAAAATTCATTTCCATGGCGATAAGAAATAGAATATTTGCAAGATCAATATGCTATCATAGGACCAAAAAAAGAGATAAAGTTGCATGCTGAGAAAGTCCTAACTGAAGGAGACCTCTCTGTTATGAAAAACAAGAAACATGCTGCAACATACTCCTCCTAAAACTGTATCTTTTTCTCCCCATTCTTCTAAATTTTTTTCTCACTGTGAATTGTTTTATCTACAACTACTGTATTAGCAAATGTGCTGAAGTTCTGCGCCATCAGCTCAAACTCACATGATTCAAGAAGTGATTTACCTCACCCAAAACATGTACTGCAAGGTCTAGATAAAGGAGACCGTGTTTTCATCAGAGAAAGAAAGGTTTGATTCATCTGAATTCAAGTTTCACCACTTCTAAATATATTCAAGTCGTAGAGCCACAGAGTCATATAATCATAGAATGGTTTGAGTTGAAAGAGACCTTACAGATCGTTTAGATCAACCCCCTGCCATGAGCAGGGATGCCCCCCACTAGGTCAGGCTGAAATCCGAATCAAGTGTTCAATATCAGGCTTCAGCTTTAATACAAATGTCATCCATTCATATGAAATTTGAATGTCAGACAGCAAAATTAGTTACATATGATGATATACAACAATTTATCAGCAGTGGCTACAGAGACTTATCTGTAGCAGTGTCACAGCCCAAATCTTCCACTACATGACACCACTGTGGCTAAATACAGGTCATTCTCCTTAGGCTGAAGATGTCCTTCAACCTGCAAGGTTTGTATGTGTAGCTGGATGAAATTAAGAAACTAAAAATGCAGGCCAAACCACAAGACGTAACATGTACTGATAAAAACCTTCTCAGTTCACCAACAGGCTTTCCAATGGAAACAGAAGAATCTTTCTCAATTAGGAATTTAACGTAATATTTTTAGTTAAAGAAACCTGACATGATCACTGATTTCAACAATCTCACAACAACAATTAATACTGCAGTTAAAAGAAAGCAAATACCACCTCGATTACAAAATAAATAGCCCATAATCTCACAAATCTGCTCTAGTGAGAAAAGAAAGTAATGAATAATTTCTGTTCTTTGCTTCAATGGCAATCTTCCTGCCATGTGTATAATGAAGATGTTATAATCACAATATAATTGTGTATAATCAATAGATATCAAGATGCTATAATCGCAATATAATCAAGAGAGTAAGGCAAAGCAGACAACGATCACAAAAACAGAATAAGTGGAAGAGCTTACCCTTAGGATGAGCTCACCAGAAGACACCAAAAGAGGGGATCTCCAGAAGAGATCCTTCCCCTCTGGTAGCCAGCTCTTAAATAGGTCCAGGAGGGATGCAGCCTGGCTCCACCCCTTCCGGCAGCACAGGTGAATTGCCTTCACCTGTGCTCCTCTGGCTGACTCATGGCTCACCTCAGGTGATCAATCAGAGGTTCAGGCCGTGACTCAGCAGTTCCCATACACCATGGAAGAACTTTCTTTTTTCTTAATCGGAGTCCTCTCCTGGAGAGCGCCCTTCATAAAGTCAGCATCATTGTTCATGAGGAATCTGTTGCATTTAACTCACGTTACGGTTAAATATTGCTGCAACTCCTGGAACCAGCTTACAGCTGTTGTGAGGAAGGCTAAACTTAAGTAACAACTGCAAAGTTTGTTTTCAAAGTTGAACTCGCAGGTGCATCTAGAGAAATAACAGCAGTAGGCTTCAGAATGCTTATCAAAAGCCTTTACCAAGCCATACCCAGACTAACAGGACAACCGTGCTGTCTTGTATTACGAGATTCCAGTGAGCTCATCTAATAGCATACTTGTTACTTCAAAGAGAAGTCTGAGGTACTGAAGCTATTCACAAAGACTAACACCAGCTGTTAACTGTGGGCTAGACTGTCTCTTCAGAAGAGACAGATTGACACTGATTAATAAAACAAACAAACATAACTACAGTAAGGGAAGGATTAACATTTTCCTTACATACACTCCATGTTTTCACAAACGAAGGTAAAGTAGCTTTTCCACCAGGTCGTAAGCGTGAGAAAGCCAAACCAAGAGTTTTCCTTTTGGCCAGATCACAGTTCAGACCACAGAGGTGAACCGTGAAATTGGGTCTCTTGAGTTGTAAACGTGTCAGCAACACCTATGTCAAGGCAAAGGCTGTTTCACCAAGCCATTGCTGCCTATTTGTACATCTTAAGCAGTTAGCAGCGGCTTGTTGGACTCATGGAGAAGAAACCTTGTATCTGAGGGGTTTGCTCATTCTGCAGATTTTTTATTTTATTTTAGGCCACGGAAATCTCACATATATTTGGAAAACTAAAATCTGTTTTGTAGCAACGCCTTCAGATAGCCTAAGAAGCTTCGCAAAGCCTTTCTCCTTCATCACAAATGCAGAAGTTTCCAAGGAACGATCAAAGCAGAGCTCAAGCACGGGGATTAAGTGCTGCCCCCGGTGACCTTCTACCCTCCGGCTGGCAGGATTCAGGCAGAGCAGCGCTCGTTCTGTCCGCGTCCCCCTCCCGGCCGCGGAGCTCCCGGTCCGTACACCCCAAACAACAGAGCCCAGAACCCAGCGCTGCCACCGGCACGGCGGGCTCCCGCAGCCCCCCGTGGCGCCGCAGCCCCCAGTCCCACAAAACCGCTCCCGCGCGCCCGGGAGACGCCGAGGCCCGCCCGGCCCAGCCGAGCCTCGCGCTCACACCGCCCGCGAGGCCCGGCGGCCCGAACCCTGCAACGGAGCCGGAGCGGCGCGGCGCGGCCCTGCCCAGCGGTGCACCTGCCGCCACCGGAGCGCGCGGACCGCATCCCGCCGCCCGCCTTCCCGCCGGGTGCAGACAAAGCGCGTGCGGAACGCCCGCTCCAGGAAAGCGGGCGGAGGTTCTCGCCCGCTCGCTCCCGTCTCCGCGGCCGCCGGTTCCCCTTCCCCGCTCCGTCCCGCCTTCCTCCGGCCGGGCAGCGCCCCGGGGCTCCCGCCGGCCCCGGGATCGGGGCGCCCGCTCCGCTCACGGCATTCGCTCGGGGAAGCGAACTCCCGCCGCCGCCTCGCGCCGCCGGACCTGCGCCGTAACCAGGCCGGGGGGCGGCAGGGGCTCAGGCCGCGTCCGTGCGCTAACGCCACAGCCCGCTCCGCCTCGTTCCCGGCCCGGTGCCTACCGTAGGGAGACGCGGAGGTTTCTCCTTTCCTCGCCATCGTCCCCCGGCGCCCTCCGTGCTCCGGCAGCCCGCCGCTCAGCGCGCTCTTTGTTGCCGTGAAGGCATGAGAGGAGGCGGCGGCCGCGCAGCCCCGCTCGGCTCCGTCGCCGGGAACGCCGCCCGCGCCCCGCGCCGACCCTCCTGTCCCGCCGGCTCCGCGGCCGACGCCTGCGCCGAGCTCGTGGGGGCGGTGCCCGAGCCGTGGGGGGGCGGCGGGCAGAGGGGGCGCCGAGGGCGGGCGCAGGGCCGCAGGACGGCCGGCAGCACGGCCCGCAGCCGCCCGCCACCCCCGGCTCGGGCGCTCCGCTCTGACTCCGCCCGCGTCCGGTCTCGGCGACGCTCCGCAGCCACTGAGCGAGCGCGGTGCCGGCCAAGCCCGCGGCGCTGGGGCTCCGCGCTGTCGCCCGACGCCGACGCTGCCGGGAGGAGCGTTGCGCCCCGCGGCAAGGGACGGGACGGGACGGGACGGGACGGGACGGGACGGGCGGCGGCAGGCTCGGCTCGGCTCGGCTCTCGCGGGCCGGTAAGCGATCGCGCCGCCGTGAAGGGGGATGAGGCTCCCCTGTGCCCAGCCCGTGCCCTGAGGCTGGAGTCTTGTCACGACAGAACTGCACGGTCCCGGAGCCGCTCTCTGCTCCGACCTCGGCCCCGCCGGCCTCACGAGCGGCTGTGGGGGGCGCTTGTCGCCCTCGGCCCGCGGCGGAGCTGTCCGGGCGTCCGTGCTGAGCGGCCTCCGGCTCCTGCGAGGAAAGGCAGGGAGCTCGCAGCGACTGCTGAGAACCGACGCGCTGTGACGCGTGGATGTACGCGCAGAGATCTGGATTTTCAGCATCCTGACCGAGAGGAATTTTCGCACTTCGGTTTTGAGCGAGGCTGTTTTCGTAATTCTGTCCAAAAACTGAGCTGTGATCAAAAACTCCATTCGGTCCTGACAAATATAGACTACTGGCCATTAACTTTCCTTTAGTTTCCACCCACTTCTTGTTGTTTTAACAGAGCAATGATCAAGAGCAAGTAATCTGTTTGCTCAGATTCTTTTTCAGTGTTGGCTCCATGCACTCTTCCCTTCCCTTTTCTACTCTACAAAAGTTCTCACCAGCCATTCTTGTTGTCTCCCAATCCAATTTACTTCCTCTAACGCTTACTCCTATTTGTATTAGTAACCGCCTTGGTCCCTGCTTCCATTTCTTCTGATCTACTCATATTCACACTTTAACTTCATGTTTTGCCCAGCTGATTAAATCTTTGGTCCAGCAGAGACTTCATCAATCCACTTGCTGGAGTCGTGGTTCTTTTATCTCTCAAATGAGAAAAAAAGTTATATCTGTGAGTTTATTGATGAATAAGAATCACCATCAGTCAGATTAAGGCCTAATCTCTACATACTAAGCAAGTGCTCTAACCAGTGCAACACTGCAGGAGGTCAAAGATAGTTGAAACCGTTCAGTACAGAAGCTTACTTCCAGAAAGTACATGGACACACGTCTTGAGGGGCAAGTAGTGAATTTCACTTCAGAGATGCTTCTAGCCTGAGTTAAACTCTCAACAGCAAACTGTAACATGTATTCCTGTCCCAGTTTCCTCACTTGGCTGATTTCAGTCAGCTACTGCCTCAGACTGCGTCAACATGAACGGCTTGGTTCTAACGAGGGCAGTTTTGAGGTGAATCTCCCAGGCATGCCCCTGCCTCCTCTAACTATGCTTTGATTTACAGAGAGATTTGAAGGCACGTGAACTGAATTTTGGATTAAACTAACTGGAAGACATGATCTAGGAATGCACGTGAGGTTCTCCAGCCCTTTACTAGGGGTATTCAGTGTAACTCAAAGCAAAAACCCACCCAAATGCTTAGTAGGTCTTGGATCCAACCGTTTTACCCTACAAATTCAGCATCATTGGTCTGCACTATTTTCTGAAGAAGGCTTCTATGAAAGAATCACCTGCAAAGAAAGGCTGAGAAAGTTTGAGTTCTTAAGCTTAGAGAAGTCTCTGAGGAGACCTTATAAATGGCCTTCCATTATTTAAAGAAGGCCTATAAAAATGATGGGGAGGGACCTTTTATCAGGGAGCATAGTGACAGGACAATGGCAACTGTTTGTAACTAAACAAGGGGAGGTTTAGTTAGGTATGAGAACACGAGGATGGTGAGGCACTGGAAGAGGTTGCTTGAGAAGCTGTGGGTGCCCCATCCCTGGCAGTGCTCAAGGCTGTGCTGGATGGGGCCCTGGGAAGCCTGATCTAAGGGAGGCATCTCTACCATACCAAAGGTTGGGTCTGGATGATCTTTAAGGTTCCTTCCAAACCAAACCATTCCCTTGGAGCACTGATTTATTCAGTCTCTCAGACTTAGGTATATCTCCAACACCACTCCAAGTTGTCTTTTAACTCCAGTGCTAATAAGGAGCTTATTTACTTAATGAAGGATTACGGATCCTAGTCTAGAAAGCACCTAGAAATAATGTCTCAATTCTTAGCACTGCAGAATTTAAATCCTTTCCTGTAGTTAGTAAACATATTTAGTGTAATTTCTTTATGGGTGTTCAGGTAGCTCAGTCAGTCAGCTGGAGTTACCTAAGACAGCGCATGCTAACTATGACATCATCTTACATAGGTTGGATGTTAAGAAAAATTTCTCTGAAAGAGTGGTCAGGCCTCTGGAATGAGCTGCCCAGGGAGGTGGTTGAGTCACTGTTCCTGGAGGTATTTAAAACGTCGTACTGAGGGACATGGCTCAGTGGGGGAATATTGGTGGTAGGCGGACGGTTGGACTGGATCATCTTGGAGGTCTTTTCCAACCTTGGTGATTGTATGACTTTGTAATACAATTCCAAGCGCAGAATTTTGCTATGTGTTTAACCTTATTTATAATACTCATAGTCAAATCCATGCTGCTTATTAAGAATAAAACTTTTAAAAATAGGATGAATTTCGTTATTGTCTCACTCCAATTTATAGGAGAAAGAGGAGGTTCTTTGATATCTGCATACCCAGCGTGACATTAAGAAACAACGGTTCAAATGTTGGTCCGACCAGTTTATTACAAATCTTAATCAGGGAGATGGGGAAGGGAAGGACGGACACTATTATGAATTAGGGTGATGGGGAGAAGGGAAGAAGGGTGATAGAAAAGACAGGAAAGATGCAAGGAGTCTTTATAGGAAGCAAGAGGGAGATAGTCACCACCACGGATCCAGCCTGGTTTGTAGTTCACTCATTGATCTTCAGTAGTGGTGGGTTGTCGGGCGTTGCTGTTCTGTTGACGACGACAGTGACCATGGCGATGATGGCGACTTCTCAGTGGTAGTACCCACTTATAAATAAGTCCAAAGTGGTTGAGTCAGCTCTCCTTGAAGTGGCAGCTTCCGGCTCTGGGATCTCAGCAGAAACTCCTTTGTTCCCATCTTCTGGGCCTTGCCAGCAGATTAGAGAGAGCAGGGAGGCGCCACCTTGTATCTTGCCTTCACAGGATACAATGGGATCATCCTGCAATCTCCCATAGCAAGCTGGAGTTATTTGGTCACAGGGTAGATCTTCCACCAGTAAACTGTCCTGAGCACTCCCTTCTGAAGGAAAACAGCTCCAAAGAAATACTTTCAAATGTAAAATTGTCCACACAGTGATGTTGACCGCCACACAGCAACACCCATCACTCACCTCCTAGACAAGTCAGTCTTATCACAAGGAATACCTCAGGAAGCAAGCTTTGAGCCAGAAAATAAAGAAGGATTCATAGTTATATACACAGCTGTGACGATTAATCAAGTTACCACAGAATTAGTGGTATGCAGAAACCATACAAATAACAGATAAATATTACATGCCTTGCAAGTGGACTGTTCAGTAATTAAATCTCCGCACCATAGTCTGAAACAGGACTTATGGAACAAAATCCTACACAGAAAGGAGTACAGAACACACACTTGATTGTTTATTTTTAAAAGCCCCGTAACCACAACATCGAATGACACAATGTACTTGAAACTAGATTCAAAACAGGAAGAAAAGCTTTTCTACTTTTATGAAATGCTTAAGTAAAGCAAGGTCACAAATTATGCCTGTATCTTTTATTCAATTACCCTTAGAGTACAGGATAAATAAAATATTATTTACTTTCAGAGAGATCAATAGTATGACATCCTGGTTAAGAATGGACGTACTTAAAAAAACAACAAACCCTTATTTCTGACTGTTCTTTGCATGCTAGCATCATACACGTTCTTTTCTTGGATACTCTCAAGATACTGCTCCAGCCCAGTACGGTTTTGCCTCCCATGTGCACCTGAGTCAGCGTTCATGACTCATAACACAGTCATACCAGTTTTAATTAGAAAGAAAAGTGGTTTTGTTGTTGCTTGTTCGTTGAATTAACGGAGTTTTTCTTACCTGTCCTGTACTAATCCAACTCATTCGCCCGCCGTTCCTTAAAGACAACGGAAAGAAACGCAAGGCGTTTCTAAACAGCTGACGTCTTTAATACGACTCCCGAAGGCACGGGGTCTCAGCGTAGGTTACACGCGCTCCCCCCGTTTAAATTCAGCGCTCGACTGCGACGAGCCCGAGCGCCGCAGCCCAGTAGGACCCAGGGCTGCCTTGCGCGCCGCCGGCCGGAACGGACCGGACCGGGCAGGGCAGAGCAGAGCGGAACGCGGCTCCGCGCCCTGCGTGTGGCGGCGGCCTGAGCTGCCCGCCGGGTCCCGTCCCGTTCGCGGCGCGGCAAGGAGGGACGGGCGGCTCCCGGGCAGCCATCGCGAGGCCCCGCCGGGTGCTACTTTTTGCCCCGCCCGGAAGCGCCTCGCTCTTTCCGGGACGGGCGGCGAAAATGGTGGGTGCTGCGCTCCGCGTGGTGACAGTGTTGGGCCCGGCCCTTCCCGTGGGCCGCGATGGCCGTGATCTCAGAATCCCGGAATGGCCCGGGTTGGAAGGGACCTCGAGGGTCGCGGATCTCCAACCCCCCGCCACGCGCAGGGCCGCCGACCTCCACCTTTAATACCAGACCGGTCCGTCCAGCGATGGCCGCGATGACCGTAACCGCGCCGGTTCCGAGGCGCTGCCGGTCCGGAGCCGAGCCTGCCGAGCTGGCCGGGCCCGGCTGCGGCGCGAGCCGAGCGCGGGAAAGCGTGGCGAGGTGGGCCTGCCGGGCCTCGGGCACCGCGGGGGCTGCGGCGGGCGCTGCCTCGTGGCGCGCGGCTGGGCCCGGTGTGCGAGTTGTTGCGGCGCGTTGTTTGTAATGGCTCGGCAGGGTCATGGCTCGTTGGTGCTTTTACAGGGGACGCCGCAGAAGGATGTTGTAATAAAGCCGGATGCGCCAAGCACGTTGCTTTCAGAGAAACATGCAGACTACATCGCCTCGTACGGAACGAAGAAAGACGATTACGTGGGTATCACTTTTGCTTCAGCACAGCTGTGGTTTTATTAATAGTAGCAGTAACCCTTATTTACTTCTTCTGTGTATAAGAGGAAGTATATGTGTATGTTTGGAGTATAAGAGGAAGAAGGCTTTGTTGATTTCCTTAGGTCTGTGATGAGTTTTGGCATGTATTATCTGAGCATAAATGTGAAGATTACCGATTTAGCTCTAGAATTACTCTGAGACCCTGGAAATAAACTACTAGTTGTGCCTTCATCCACTAGAATGCGTGAGCACAGCTGTATTCTGTATTGTGCTGTATTATATTATATGCTGTATTATATTATATGCTGTATTATATGCTGTATTATAGCTGTATTGTGGGATAGATGAGTGGACAGTGAGGTGGGTTGAGAACTGGCTGACTGGCAGAGCACAGAGGGTCGTTGTTGGTGGTGCAGAGTCCGGTTGGTGGCCTGTAACTAGCGGTGTTCCTCAGGGGTCTGTGCTGGGTCCGGTCTTGTTCAACATCTTCATCAGTGACCTTGATGAGGGGATAATGGCCACCCTCAGCAAGTTTGCCGATGATACGAAGTTGGGAGGATTGGCTGACACGCCTGAAGGCTGTGTTGCCATTCAGCAAGACCTGGATAGGCTGGAGAGCTGGGCAGAAAAAAACCGGATGAGGTTTAACAAAAGCAAGTGTAGAGTCTTGCATCTGGGGAGGAATAATTCCATGCACCAGTACAGGTTGGGGGATGACCTGCTGGAGGGGAGCTCTGCGGAAAGGGACCTGGGTGTCCTGGTGGATGACAGGTTGGCCATGAGCCAGCAGTGTGCCCTTGTGGCCAAAAAGGCCAATGGCTTACTGGGGTGCATTAAAAAGAGCGTGGCCAGCAGGTCAAAGGAGGTGATCCTCCCCCTCTACTCTGCCCTGGTAAGACCTCATCTGGAGTACTGCGTCCAGTTCTGGGCTCCCCAGTACAAAAAAGACAGGGATCTCTTGGAAAGAGTCCAGCGGAGGGCCACGAAGATGGTGAAGGGCCTGGAGCATCTCCCCTATGAGGAAAGGCTGAGTGAACTGGGTCTGTTCAGCCTTGAGAAAAGGAGACTGAGAGGGGACCTGATCCAGGTCTATAAATATCTAAGGTGTGGGGGGCAGAATGGCGAGGCCGGACTCTTTTCAGTGGTGAGTGTAGACAGGACAAGGGGAAATGGCCAGAAACTGGAGCATAGGAAGTTCCGCACAAACATGCGGAAGAGCTTCTTTACAGTGAGGTGACGGAGCACTGGAACAGGCTGCCCAGGGAGGTGGTGGAGTCTCCTTCTCTGGAGATGTTCAAGACCTGCCTGGATGCCTACCTGTGCTACCTGCTGTAGGGAACCTGCTTTGGCAGGGGGGTTGGACTCGATGATCTCAGGAGGTCCCTTCCAACCCCTACAATTCTGTGATTCTGTGATTCTATTCATATGTGGGTGCTTGGTAGGGCAGCACGCTGAGGTGCATTGCAGCACTGCCCTATGAGTACTGGGTGCAGGAAATGCTACTGTCTGGTGTCATTTGTGTAGGTGTGGTGGAGCATGTGGCAGACGGAGTTTACTTGGTGAGAAATGTCAATAACTGCATGTCTTGGGGGGGAAAAAGTTGCAGTTATCCTTATTGTCTGCATTGCTGTACCGGTGGTTAAAACCTCCAGCTGTAAGAACTGCTTGGCACCAAATAGTGCTTATTGACTGCATAGGTGAAGTAAACAGCATTTACGTGTTTGCACATGTATATATATGTGAATTTACTTCCTTGTACACCACTGGATTGTGGCAGTTCAGCCACTTGTTAGTGAGTTTCATTAAATGACCTTATTTTTGAGACTGGTTGAGGTTGTAATTTGAGTGGTAGTTTGGATGCTGGGACAGTAACGGCTGATCTGAAATGAGCTGGTGGCTTATTGGTTGCATGCGTTTAACTTGACGTTTAGATTGATGCTTCTAGAACAGGTAATACAGCAGAGGGTGGGAATTTAGTGTGTGTAGGTATATGTGCACATACGCGTGTTTGCATGGACACGCGTGCATACTACACAGAGTAAGGGTGGCTAATACATTTTAAGTCATTTATGGGATTGAAAATATTTGACATGTTACTAACAGTAAATAATGTATTTCCATTGCTTTGCTTCGGTGGAATGTTTATCTGAGACAAACTAAAATAATGCACTTCTTAGGAGTACTGTATGTCTGAGTACTTGAGGATGAGCGGTGTTTATTGGGGGCTGACAGCCATGGACCTCCTGGGACAGCTGCACCGAATGAACAAAGAAGAAATTCTGGCATTCATCAAATCGTGTCAGCATGAATGTGGTGGAATAAGTGCCAGCATAGGTCATGATCCCCACCTTCTGTATACCCTGAGTGCTGTCCAGGTAAAGCTAATGTCAAAACAACCATTTGTGTGTGATGACTTTAATGATTGCAGATATCCAACACTGTCTGGTTTGGGTGCTAATAGTAAACACTCTTTCAGTACCTCACTTAAAAAAAAAAAATAAATCCGAATGGCAAAACTTCAGGGTTTAGCTGTGTCAATTCTTTAAAAGTGGTCAGAATTAAGAATATTGCACTTGTAATATACACTTAATGATGAATTTGCATTCTTGATAAATTTCGTAACTCTCCTCTCAAAGCGTTTCTCAGCTGTAGCTTTTACTGGAATCTTGCGTAATCCTGAACTTTGTTGACCCTTCTTAGTATGTATTGAGGCGAGAGGTGAACATGTTCAGAGTAATTTTATGTGTGTGTGCCTCAAACACTTGACTCTTATTAATAAATGTGCATACATGTATGCAGTTACTATGTAAAATAGTTACATAGGATTAGATAAATCCACGGCATATATTTGTTGTGTAGCATGTTTGCATTCTGGTATCATACAAACGGAACATCACAGTAGCCACTTCTTGATGTGTTCCTCAGATCTGTTTTATTTCCGTGTACTTAAAATGATACCAATCTCCTAAGCATTTTCTTATTTGATGTTTACTCCTTCCCTGAGAAAAATGAATTATTTTCAATTGTGCTTTTTCCCCATAGCTATCTCTACTGTAGATTTAATGTTTCACTGTCTAGTCTGTGTTTTTTCCTAGTTATTGCACAAACTGAGGTGGAAAAAATACATAGAAGCTCAAATGCTTGTAAGCTATTGCTTGTTTGATTATGTAGTGTATCTCTAATTGAAGCTCATGGAAGTACTGCTTAGATGGTGTTACAAATAAATAAGGTAGTATTTGGTTTTAGAAAGAAAATGTTGGATTTAAGGTGTTAGTTTTGAAATCCTTAGGATGGGAAAATGTTGTTTTCTTGGGTCAGTGATGATTGCTGCCATGTATTATCTGATCTAAAGGTGATGTTTATCAGCACAATAGCTCTAGAATTACTCTGAGACCCAGGAAACTTAAGTTTCTTTAGACAGCAGCCTTTGAGCTTTACCAAACACTCCAATCAAGTTCCTTTCATGAAGTCTGATTAAATATACAGAGAAGGAAGACAATTTGAGTCTTAAATTTTGTAAGAGGCATACAGTTCTTAGATTAATACTTGATATTATTAGGAGATATTTTTGTGTCAACAATGCACCTCGGGATATGTAAAGCTGAGAAGTGTTAGCCATTGCTGATGTGAAGTTTTTAAACCTACCCAGTGTGTCTTAATGAGCGTGCATGTCCTCCATTCACAACACCTGCTCAGTCCCATCTAAATCTCCAGAACGTTGGAAAGGTAACGCTGCATCTTCCTTTGCTCTCAGTTAACAGTGATGTGTTCAGGTTAGCTCTGGAAGGGCTGTGCTGTGGTTCTGGATGTTCTGTTGGAGTTGCTTTGTGGATTTTTTTTTTTTTTTGCATTCCCGTAAGTATTTTTAAATTAAATAATAGCTGGTAATTAAAATACTCCAGCTTCTTAATTCTAGGAATTCAAAGTCATAGCTGTTGGTAGTTCTTAGGCTCAGTTTTTCAGTGTTCCTTAGTTTCAGTTCTTTCTATTTTCAGTTGTTCTGTTACACTATTTATAATGAGCTGTCAGAGCTTATCGCAGTTATGAGTGAAAACATGAAGCCAGCTGGGCTCAGAAGCAGCACTGTGGTGTCCACGTGACATTGCAGCTGCAATTGACTTGCTCAACTCAGTGCTGATGGAGAACCTTTGCACTCCTTGTTCTATGACCTGTTGGTTCAGAGCGTGTTACTGTGCACTTTGTGTCTAATCGCGTTGTTTGTACTTTTTCTTGAATAGTTGCAATTTGCTGTTGTACTTCAAATTTAAATGTTTAAAATAATATATTTTGTGATCACTCCTGGTGGACTTTACCTGTAAGTGGTACTAGTTACTATCTGCTCCACTTACGGGTGTGCAAATAGCAGCAGTGCACAGACTGCAGATTGAAGTTCTGGAATGATGCTATTGCATTGCAGAATTCACCACAACCAGATCTCTCGAGTTGTACGTGATATGAGTGTGAAAGTAAGGGAGCCAGATGGGGCCTTTAAGAGGAGAGCTGGAATGTTGGAAAGCAGCAGAACATGGCACAGTCCAAGAATTGTCTGTTCTCATGTGAGACACTTTTGGGTAGCAATAGGTGAACTTGAGTGAATCAAATCTGATTTCAACAGAACTTAGCAGGCACCAGCCAGAAGCAGTTAAATGAAGTATCTTACAAATTTGGATTTTTTTATTTGCTAATAAGTGCATCTCAATAACCTTTGCTTCTCTTTGATTGTTACTGTGGCTTTCTGTTCTAGATTCTGATCTTATATGAAAGCCTCCATGTTGTTGATGTAAATAAAATTGTTGAGTATATACAGAGCTTGCAGAAAGAAGATGGATCATTTGCTGGAGACAAATGGGGTAAGTTTTAGATTGTAAAAATGGTTTGATTTTTGTTGACGCATGTAAGTCTATGAACTGAAGTTTTCTTGGATGGTGGTTTTGTGTATCTTCTGTATATAAACACTTAATTCCTGGGTTGTTTCATAAACAAAAAAAGGAAAGAAGTTTTGTGGAGGACAAACTTTGGTTTTCTTTCCCATCCAAAATATTTTAAGATTTGTTCCTTTTTTAAAAAATAAATTGTCCAGCTCTTAGAGAAAAAAACCTTTGTGCACTCGTAACTAACAGTGCTTTTATGTGTTAGATGCACTATTTTCTGGGTTTTTTTTTTTTTTGCTTGCTGTTTCATGACCTTCCTTTTATGATCTTTCTCCTTTGGAAGGCAGCTTTCACTACATGGAAATGAGGGAAAAATACTAGCTGTTCTTTCACTCATCAGTATCTATTAATGCTTATTTTTGTTTATGCATGTAAATTCTTCATGAACAAAAGCAGTAATTTTCAAGCTGTAGAATAACCACTGAGTCAATAAAAATACTTAGTGCTGTGGAAAGCTTCGTTTGATGGAATGTATCGTGTCACGTCAGTATGTGTGGGCTGCTGGATGCCTTACCCTGTGCTTTAGGAGAGCCATGTTATGAACTTCCTCAGCAATCATTCTGCTGAGGTTTTTTTGGCTTAGCATGGAGGTGTAAATGTGCTAAAGAAAACCTGCAGTTCGATTTCCTCTTGATCTGATAACAAAAGTGGGCTCTATTCCTGCTCAGGTGTCAAGGAGCCTGCAGTATCAAAGGCAGACCTGCTTCAGGTGCTTTATTGATCTGTTTTTAAATACCCACTGTTCTGCCTTTATCCAATAGAGTACTACAGATCAACTTTTACACAGCTGTTTGCAAGTTGCCACTAGTTGGATTGCCTAGAATGTACGTCTGAATGCAGGCAGTGAGTTGTTTGCTTTACATACAGTAAACACAGATCATTTGAACTGTAGTGTGCACTTTGTAAATGACTGAGGAAATAACTGACAGATTGAAAAGTGAGCTTTTCATTGTTGCCATACAGGTTTTTTTTTTACATTTGTTTCATATTTTCAGTGGTGATTTAAATGTATTATTGCTTTTAATGAAAATGATATTTCATTTCCTGCCCTCTGTGTTTTAGGAGAAATAGATACAAGGTTCTCCTTTTGTGCTGCAGCAACTCTTGCACTTCTAGTAAGTTCCAAAACATCACTTGAACAAGTACAGTATTTTTCGTTGGTGTATAGCTGAAGTTAACCAGTTTGGCTGAACGTAAAATATATTGGTTGCCTTTTTAACTTGCAGGGAAAATTGGATGCTATTGACGTGGGGAAAGCAGTAGAATTTGTTTTGTCCTGTATGAACTTTGATGGAGGATTTGGCTGTAGGCCAGGTTCTGAGTCACATGCAGGACAGGTGAGTTTTACTTTCTATGGAAATCCTTAAGTTATTAAATACCACAAACTGCCTCTGAATGTTTGTTTTTGGCATCAATCAGGGATGCCAGTTGATGGAAGCTTTCTTGTTTTCAGAATGACAACTTCCAGTCTTTTAGTTACAGGGCAATTTGTGGATACATCTGGGAAGCTGGTTAGGAACTCAGGAGGCTACAATCTAGGAAAGAAAAAAAAATAAGGGAGCAATTTGTAGGACTGTATTTCAGATTACCAGTGTGGGCTGAGTGACATCCAAATAGTGGTGCCAATAGTTGGTGTGAGGTTTTAAAGATAATTTGGAATTGGTATTAGTAGACAATGGAGAAGAAAACCTTAATTGGGGAAAAAAAAAAAAATCCTTTGTGATGTGTTGCAGTGGTTACCACAAATTCTAATGAAACGTGCAAATGAATTGTGTATGTTTGATATTTATCAGATGAACTGAAAAATAAGTGATAAGTAAATCTTTTAATCTCTCAAATTGCAAGAATTAATTATTTGAGCAGGGTAAATTATAAGAAGTGGTGATTCTTGCATGGGAACCTCTACAGTGTTTTGTTACAGGTACTGAAGAGTGCTGATGGCAATTGATGAAAAATGATCAGTAAAATTTAGTTGAGAAGAAGGTGGAGTAGTGTCACTGAAGGAATTTCAGGGGTTTATCAGGAAGAGAAGCTCTTCTTTCAAGAGAAAAATTACATGGGAAAAATAACTTCCTGTCTATTTTTATTTTTTTGCATGTAGGGGATTGTTGCACTGAACTTAAATTTACCAGTAGGCACCAACCTTGGTGAACGGTTTTAATGGCCTGTTTATTTTGCATAACTACAGTGAGCAGTACCATAGCCAGGGTTTGCTTATGAACATGGAATTAGTATCAGTTCCTACGTTGAGAACAGGGGTGGTGGTTTCCCCAGCTCCCACTCTCTCCCCCTTATCCTTGTGGGTTACATCTCGAGCAGCATTGTCTGAACACTGAATGTGGTGTTCCAGGAGGTTGTCTATTTGGGGGTGTTTTTTCTGCTCAGGAAGGGCTGGTTATAAATAGGCTTCAGCTGAAGTTGTTTCTTGTTGTAGGGTGCTTTTTTTTTTTTGTTTTCTTTTTTTTCCAGTTTGTGTCTGGTTCCCTTTTCAGTGACTGCCTGAAACGTGTTGGTAGTTTGCTGTCGCACTGCATGTCTTACTTTAGAGGTAAAATAGGCAGGGATTAAAACTACATGGCACTTAAAAAGTAAGCCTGCTGAGGCCATGCTTGTACTTAGGATTGCCTGCAACATTTATGATTGCTAGTAACCCTTTTCTGTCAGGGAATTCATTCGGTCTGCAGTTTGCCCTCCATAAGCCTTAGAGAAAGAGAGGGTTGGTTGGTGGCCTGTGGCAGGGGGCTGGAGCTCGGCCCTTGAGGAGCCTTCCAACACGTGCCGTTCTGTGCTTCTGCAAATAGGTGTGAACATAGGCTGGCCGCAGAGCTGTCAGAAAGGCGATGTCTGACCTGTAGAAGCAGTTTGGGTGCTCTAGCTTTAAAATAAAGTATTGCTCTGCCTTTTCATCTTTTTGGAAATCTTAGTCTAGTATCTTATATCAGTAAGAAGTTTTATAATTACTGGAGCTCTTTAACCAAAAGCAACTGTGATTAATATCTGCCTGTAAGGAAAAAATGAAATTAGCTAAAAGGTGAAGTGTGCTTATTTTATATCCTGTTTGCAGGACTGTGTTCTTCGAGATCTTCCTGTATTTAGTCTCTGTTTAGTTTTTAAATACACAAAACATTTATGTCTGTAATTTTAGATCTATTGTTGCACAGGATTTCTGGCTATTACAGACCAGTTGCATCAAGTAAATGTTGACTTGCTGGGATGGTGGCTTTGTGAACGTCAGCTGCCTTCTGGAGGTCTCAACGGGCGTCCAGAGAAGGTATTAGATGGCTTATTCTGTTCAAAGCTTAATGTAGAGTATTTTTTTTGGAATACAGTGTTACTTTGAAATGCTTAGTAAACTCAAGAGATTCAGGCCTTCATTTTGATTCTTCATTGTGTTGCAAGCACTTACCTTGCAGTTCTTGGCTATTCATGGTTTCATGCCTCAGTTCAGGAAAGTATGTGTACTGAAATATGTCTTGCTGGCCAATTCAACCAGTGTCCTATTAAATCAGGCCTTGAATATTTTCTGACAGTGGGGATGATCATCCCTTCTGTAGAATTTGTGCAAATATTGTTTCATTTGATCTGCGTCCTGTGCATAATAGTGTTGTATGTTACAGTAAGAAATTGTGTAACTTGCAATAATCCCCACTGGTAAATTGACAACTAATCAATATTCAAGAATATATTAAAAAAAAAGCTTGTTTTCTTTCTTTTTATTTTAATATGAAACTTGTCTTTGCTCATGACAAAGGTGATGCAGATTTTTAGCCTGTCTGACATGAGATGAAGGTTGTTTCAAAACAACATTCTTGTGGTCCTGCTTCTTGAAAATCCCGAAAGGCTGTCTATAAAGAAACTGCCTCCAGAAGCTTGCTTCCTGTACCCCAGAGAAGCGTTGTTTCTATGCAGCGATGTTATGGCCACACAGCTGGGAGTTCACAGAACCACAAATTCGTGATGTTATGTTAACGATGAAATCAAATAATACTCTGCTTCTCTGTTTGCAGTTACCTGATGTATGCTATTCATGGTGGGTTCTGGCATCTCTGAAGATGATTGGTAGGTTACATTGGATTGACAGAGAGAAACTGCGCTGCTTTATTTTGGCTTGCCAGGACGAGGAGACTGGAGGATTTGCTGACAGACCAGGAGATATGGTAAATAACCTTCAATTAAGTCAAGTTTGCGTAATAGAAGTTCTCAACTTGGAAAGTATGTTTCATGTTTGAATGTAAGACATGATCCAGATACTGGTGTTCTGCAGAACTGCAGCATCTGCAGCTTGGAAGGAGCAAGGTACAGTTGCTTTGAAAGGCTCACATAGGAAGCACGTGCAATGTTGCATGTGCACTATAGCAGCTGACTTCAGTGTGGGATTCCGTCCCTAAAATGCACACCACACTGCTTCTCATAAGACTGCATGGAAGATCAAAGTGAAAACACTGACAGTTCAACAACTTGCTGGCATTTTGAGGTTATCACAAGTTAAGTAGTCTTCAAATCTCTTGGTGCTTTTGTCTGGTCTGAATAATTCTTGAGTAAATGCTCAGACCACGCTCATGCCCACCACGGCATAAATCCTCTCACGGCCTTGGTGTAAATGAGGAGGAAGCTTTTCTGACAGTGTTATGAAGAGGCTGGTGGTATTAATTTTCTCCTTGACTGAGAGAGTAGTTATAGTCTAGTTGTTGTATTCCCTATGGTTTGAAGCATAAATAATTGATACTGTTCAGGGTTCTGGTCAAATAAATATATTATGTGATCTCGGTGCAAATACCCTTAAACACGTGGCTGCTTATTTGTGAAAGGTTGGAAAATGGTGGCTCTAACATCTAAGGACAAGGCTGGTTATGGCAGTGTACTTGTAACCATTTAGGCTGTAATCTAGTTGTTGGATTTCATGTATGTGGCTATAACGTGATGATCCAGCTCAGTTTACTGCAGTGTAGAACCTCTGTGAAAAGACTTAGAAATTCCAGTAATACAAACAGGATGTATGCTGCACCAGGTAATTTTGGGTAGGATTTTGTAGAATGACTAAGGTCAGTGACGGGATGTATGTGCCGTAAGAATTTAAACAGTCTGCTGCAGATATGTGATGATACAGGCTTTCAGGGGAAATTTGTAAAGTGTACCAGTGAAAAAGAATACTTTGATATAAAATAAGTGGTGATCTCTTCTGTTTCTTTTCTTGTTCTTTAGTTTGTTTTTACTTCTCGTTTTAACAGCAGGCTGTTGCTCTCCTCGTAAGATTGTACAGTACAGCTCTTTATTCAGAGACCATTAAGCAGCAGCATACTGTTGCTGAAGAGCCAAATGGGGAAGTGATATACTTGCAGATGATCATGTTAGCCTACTAATGTTATTTCTGTAATTGCTTCTGTTGTCTCATGACACTGTATGGAAGTGGAGATGAATGCTTTTCTGAGTGGATTATATGCTGTAAGTTCATGCTGTGGGAGTTGCCTTGCCTGTGGGCTTACACAAGCTCAAAAGCACAAATGGAAGTTTTTGCAGTTGCAGTGTTATCTTGAGCTACACCGGTTGTATTTCTCTTGGTAACAAACAGAAGCTTCCATACCAGTGGAAACTGATTGTTCTTCTGGAAATGAACACTATCTTTCTGTCTTCCAGGTGGATCCATTTCACACTTTGTTTGGAATTGCTGGACTATCCTTACTTGGGGAAGAACAAATTAAAGCTGTCAATCCTGTCTTCTGTATGCCAGAAGATGTCCTTCAAAGAATAAATGTACAGCCTGAGCTTGTGAGCTGAATCTCATGGAGACAGCAAATTGATAGACCCTCTTGGTTTGGTTTTACTGATTGGAAGTCATCTTTGAAGCTTGGAATATTCTTAATATTCTTCTTTGATATGTGTTTACATTACTACAGTAAAGCAGTAGCTTTACAGTGGGCTTTGTCACTTTGTGAACTGTATTGTAACTGGCTTGTTGTAGTATTCTGAGTGTAATATGTTCTTTGGTTGTACATAAGAGATGTAGAAACATTTCTAATCTGTATCTAAAGATATAGGCTTTTTTTTTTTTAATAACCAAGTTGCAGCAGTAGTGTGACTAGCTTAATTTTTTCTATTCCTGCAGTGTCAGCCGTGGTAGCATCTGTCTTTACGCAAGTGTGTTCTGATGGTGTGTCACACACAGCACTTCAGAAGAATACAGGAAGAAAAACCACCCAACTTAAGCCGTGCACTTAATGCCAAACGCTTGTCTGTGTAATTCTGGCTGTTTTCACTTCTATATACTCAGATGCAAGCAACTTCTTTTCATAGTAATTGTTACCAGTAAAAGCAACAAAAAATATGATTCTATTAAAGACAGGAATATACTCCTATTACTGCAAAAGTTCCTTTTGACGAAATTCCCCTGATAGTTGAAATGGAGCATACCTTGAGTGTATCTGCACTGAAAATTGCTGATGTTAATCATTATAGAGAAATTCTTCATAGGAAAGCGACTTGCAGCTGAATATAGTGCTGACCGTAAATTTATTGCTGGACTGGAATTCTGGCTTTGCAGCTTTTAAGACAAAAATTGCCAGCACTTCATTATGCTGTAGTTGAGAGTTAAATTAGCTGTGGAAAACACTCATCTGAAAGATGAAATCCTTTTGTCTTGACAGAAGCCATAAAATTGCATGTTTCTTCACATCCTCCTGCACACTGTCTGAAACTGAATTTCACTTCACAGTGAAATGTAGTTGGGAGGGGGAAGAAGTTCTTTGGTAATTGCTGTATGTATGCTTAAAGAAGGTCTAAAAGTATTTCAACACTTCTGATCACCAGCGGCTTAGTTTTATCCAACCTATTCATCCTAGTAGAGAATAAGGTGCAGCAACTTCTTGGGAAATTCAGAGACTGAAGGCTCAAATACTACGTTTGGGATTTTTTGTTTTTTTTTTTTAAACTTTTATTTCTCTGGAGGCTTTTAGATGATTAAAAAAAAAAAAAAAAAGTGGTTCCCTTCTAATGGCTCAGTTTCCTGGTGAATTATTTGGTCAAAGCCTGGAATTTATTTTTTCAAGGTTTGGAATTTAAGGCTGACTTTTTGTTGAGTATGGGGGAATGAGAGCACTGGTTAGGTTTTATTTATTTGTAAAAAATACATAGAAAGTTAAAAATTAAGAAGAAATAACCTCACATCCGGGTAAGTGCTGCTTCTTTATTCAGAGCTTCACTCTCCAGGACGTAGGCATTTACTGCTTTTTCTGTGTTATATAAACATAACAGAATACGGTTCAGAATTTCTAGTTTAGTATAGACTGTGAGACATTCTGGGAATTAAAATGTGGGTGACAGTACACGAGAGAATAGAACACAGCAGGTTGAAATCCTGTTCATGTTATTGAAACTTGTCGGAAGGAGGTCTGGTCACCTTGGTTTAAGTCAGCTGTAGTTGATAAAGACCACGTTATACAGATTGCGGGCTAAAAATGAATGAATATGTGTCCAAACAAAACACTTCTTAATTTTTTTTCTTCCGTTCTTTACTTCTTAACTTATAGATACTGTGTGTATATATATACAAAAAATCATCACTGTTTTTTGTCATGCAAACGAAATCAATTCTTTTCAATGTACTGTGGAAAAAAATTAGTTGGCCCATGTGCATCTATTAAAACACTTCAATATGAGATTTTGGTGCAGAGTGCGTTGTTATAAGTCCATCTGTGTTTCTTTTCAATGTTTCTTTTTTTCCCCTGAGTTTATGTACTTGCTGTGTTGCAATAATTAACCTCATAGTCTTCAGTTACTGGTCCTTTATTAAAGGCTTTCAGAAGTTTGTACTTCTTTATCTGTGCAGTTCCAGAGGTGTCCTGTCTGTGACAGCCTGGTTAGACAAAGTCTGCATTATGATTTATGGACGTAAGAAATGGGGGTCATTGGGAAGATGTAGCTTTTGTTTCTGCTTTTCGGTCTGTGCGCTTAGATTTGTGTCTGAAGAGGTCAGTGTCTGAAGTTCAGCACTGGTCTTAGTTGAGGCAACAGCATCTGTGGAATTGGAGTTCTCCATCCATTGCAGTGAAGCTCAAGTTTCAGACAGCAGTGTTCTCAGAACAGTGCCTGGTGGAGGCTCGGTGCTGAGGCGCTCGCCCCTCTGCGCTGGGCCGCGGGGCAGTGGAGCAGCGCTGACAGCTGCTACAAATTGCCGCAGCAGGGCCGAGCAGCCGCAGGCCGCATCCTCTGCTCAGTGTGGTTTTAGGTAAGTGAATTAGAAGCGCCGTGATGATGTTTTGTTTAAATGAAAGCTTCCGTGGCGGTAGCACCTGCTGGCACCCAAACCGATCTGTGTGCTCTTGAATTTAAAGCAATGTCTGGATGCAAGACCTGCTGTGTGCGTTTTTAATTAACGGTTTCTGTTAGCTCTGCAGGTCACGCCGCCTCTGAATTCCTACTAATAACAGCCTCTGGTTGTCAAGTCAGCTGAAGAAGCACGTTGGACAAATGACGCCTGGGTGCCCTCCCGTTGTTCTAGGAGGCACAGCAGCCCTCCGTCATCTCGGCGCCACACGCGAACGGCGCCGCCGCCTCGACGGGAAACCGCTGGGCGGCGGCTGGGGGCAGGTGAGAATTGTGCGCATGCGCGGCCGCGCTGAGGTCAGCGCCATTTTCAGCCGTAGCGGCAGCGGGTAGCTTTGCGTGGCTGAAGCCGCGATGTCGAACGGCAGTAGTAAGATGGAAGCGTGCGGGCGAGCGGTCGCCTCGGCCGCCTCAGAGTCCTACACGGGCCGCTGCTCCTCCTCTCTGTCAGGGTTGGGCGGGCGCTACACGCTGGGCCTGCTGCAGACGCCGCGCAGCACTGAGGACAGCACGGGCGGCTCGTCCGGCGGCGGGACGGGGCTCGCTCCCTTCAGGGTTGCCGGCAGGAAGGAGCCGCCGCGCTCCGGAAGGGAAGGTAGGGAGCGGCGTGGCCTTCTGCGTTCAGGTCGGTGCCGCTCCTGCTGCCCTCGGCTTGCCGAGCTGCGGTACCGCAGTCTGGTCGGCGGGCGGAGGCGGAGCGCCGTCTCTTCATGCCAGCCGTCTGTTTGTTTTGGTTCGGCTCGTCAAAATGACGGCGTTCCTCGGGTTTCTTAAAATAAATGCTGCTTTTGCCTGACGTTGTGGATAATTGGCGCGTGAAGTCACTTGGCTGACCTGAATTGCCCCGCAGCGCTGTAGCAGCTCCAGCTGGCTCTGCTCGCAGTCCCGGCCCCGCGCTCCATCCGCGCGGTGCTGGCAGGGCGCTGGGATCAGCGCAGTACTGCCGGCCTTGAATTGGCAGACTGGAAACAGTGGCTGGGGTTGGTTGGTTGGTTTCTTTGTTTGTTTGTTTTTCCTCTTCAGTGAAACTACTATAGCAGTAACAATGGGACGCTTGTTGAAATGTCTTGTGAAGTACGCGCGTTCCTGTTAGGTGTAAATTGGGATGAAAGGTGTGTGTGTGCTTCGCTAAGAGGTACGCGATCAGTCTTGAATCCAAGACAGAGGAAAGCTTGCAATACCAACCTGAGCAAAGCGTAACTTAATTGTTGAATTTTTATTGTTAAAATAAAAGATGCTGATGGTTTGGTTCCTCTGGTCTTTGAAAAGCAGTTATCCAGGCTGTATTAAGGATTTCATGTTTTTACGCATCTTGAGAGCACTTGAGATACTAAAATTAGTATCTCAATTATTAGATTAGCAAAATATTGATTAGTAAAGAAATTACTAATTTACTGAATTTAAGAGTGATCTGAGGAAAAAAGTATTTTGCCACATTTAAAAAAAAAAAGGTAAATCTTACAATATATCTGTAGAGAAAATAGGAGATAACATAACAAACATGTTTCAGATTACTGTGTCATTTCTGAGGGTTGAACCTCATAAAATCAAAGGGAGATCATGTTCATGTGGAAGGTATTTCTGAGCGCAGTTCTTTGCACTTTTGCTGCCGTTTTCTAAAAGGGAATGTGCATGTTAAACAAATACTATTGTGACTTTTTCAAACTTTGAAATTTTCATAAACGTAAGTATGTAGTCTCAGCTATGGATTTTAAAGCCAATGGGAAAATGCAAGGTGGAGCTGTCTGTTATAGCATTTTTTCATAGATCTGGAACTCATAGCATAAAAATTATGCGTAGTAAAATTATTTCAGTTATATTGTTTCAGTCCAGCAAATTAACCAGAGATTTACTGCAAGTAAAGTCATTATGGAAAGTAACAGTCAATACAGGCTGGTTTTCGAAACAAACTCATTGTTATTTCAGGCCAGTACTGTTGTAGAGAAGGATATTGGGGGTGGATTGCTGGGACATCTCTACTTCTAGTACAAAATACAAGGTTTTCTAAGATGTGTATGTGCTGCTTTCAAAACAGAAACTGACTCTTTTTTCCTTCCCTTTCCCTTCAGAATCATATCTTGGGGACAAAAGTTCCTGTGCAGAAAATGGGAGTGCAGTGAATTTCACAAGTGGTTGTTCTGCACGAGGCCTCAGTAACACGTGTGTGGGAAAAATACCCTTTTCTACCAGTAGATCTATTGGCAGAAGCCATACCCCCGTTCCTGGATATTCAGGTAAATTGACAGTGCTTAAGGGAAATAGTTCAATATATATCTCTAACATTTCATTAAACATACTTTATTTTTTCACGTGCTTATAATGTGATAATGAAAGATAAATCATAGTTGTTTTTATACCTAAGCAGCCTAGATGCAAGGGAGGCTGTCTCTTCAGTGGCTGGCCCTTATGTGAGCCCAGAGTGGCTCCAGCGTGCATCCAGCCTTCTGGTCACACTGCTTCACCAGGTGCCTGAACAGCAGTTCAAGCTGTGACCTAACAGTGCTCCTGCCTTTGTGAACAGCGTTTCTTATCATGGTTTCTTTTTAGGCTTATAAAGCGTTGTACATCATTGTGAGGTATTATTCTGTTAACATCAGTGTCTCAAAGTTTGCTGGGGACACAGATGGACTTGAACAAGTTCAGGCAAGTCCTGGGCAAGGATTGTGAAATCCTTTGTCTGGGGAACACAGATGGACAAGGCCAGGGGCAAGGAGAGAGAGATGAGCTGCAGCTAAATGGCTGTGAAGTGCTCCTCTGTGTGACTTATCTCAGGATGACAAATCTCCATCTCAGGGGCGCTCAATGACTCTTGCTCAAGACCCATCCTTGTCACATGGGCAGGAGAACAAATAGGATAAAAGGAGAATCGAAAACCATGAGGATAGGTTTTCTGGCAACAGATTCCTCATGAAGAAGAGCAAGGATTTCTGACTAACAGGCTCCTCACGAAGTGATGCCTGCATGCTGAAGTGATGCCTGCATGCTGACATACTCTCCTGGGCTGCTGCCTGAGCGCTGCTGCTTCCTCCTGCATTGGCTCCGCGTCTGCCTCCTGCTGCCTGCTTGCTGCCCCAGGCTGCCACGCTGCTCCCTGCTGCTGCTTCTGCCTTGGGCCTTCAAACGCCATGCAGCAGAAATTCACATACAGATATGTATGTCTGCCTTATTTCTGCAGTGTTTGTCTTCTCATTTGAATAGCCTACACTCACAATCTGGGGCTGCAAATTTTGGAACAAAGTGTTGTTAGTAGCTTCTTTGAAAGATTTGAAGAATGTAACACCAAAACTAGCAGAGATGCCAGAGGAAGCACTATATCCATGTTTTTGGTGTTTCATTGGTTATAAAGTTCAGTACCCCAGAGAAAAAGGTCTCACCCTGGTTAATTAATCTCTTCTGTGGGAAGTGCAGTGATCTAACAATTAATAGTGCTTCCAGGTAATACAGCATAATGCTTTATATGGGGGCTCAGTAACTGCTGCCTGAGGCGTATTGTTGCAGATCAGTACGACAGATGCCCTAAGAAAATCAGGGCAGAATTGTGAGGGTCAGCTCATTTTGTCTGACTGCTTATCCCCAGTTCTGACTGCAGATGAAAACTCATCTCCACCTGTCCTCCTTATTGCCTTGCTGTGTCTAGGTTTTAGGCACTGAAAACAGTAGTGCTAGAAAGATAGAGAGAGGTGCATTATTAGTTTCTAAAATCAGTGCTCTTCAAAGTTCAGTACCATATGAGGAGGTTTGGGAGGAACAAGGAATGTGTTGAACTTTGGCACCAGCCAATTATACTACAGTAATAACTGAACAAAAAACACCTTCACAATCCTCAGTTTGCTCGCTCTGTCACAGCTTGTCCAAGCTTGGAATGTCAAAGTATGATTTTGTGAATATAAAGAAGCGGGTTATAACTGAATATGTGCAACTGTTCTACAGTTACGTCGTCATCTACAGCCTCTGCTCATACTGCTGCATCAGTTATTGTAGCTGTGGTAGAAGGAAGAGGCCTTGCCAGAGGGGAAGTAGGAATGGCCAGCATTGACTTAAAGAATCCTGAGGTGATACTGTCCCAGTTTGCAGACAATACGACTTATGCCAAGGTATTGTTGCATAGTGAACTACTGCATAGCTGACAGCTGGGTGCAGTGGATTGCTTGCTTGAGTAATCAGGAATGGAAGATTCAGTTTCTAGGAAAAAAATCTCAAAAGGGGAAGTAAGAATTTCTAGAAAATTTGAAATATTTGTCGAAGGAGCTGCTATTTCCTGTGCTGTGCCTCAGATTTCAGGGGAGGAGGAAAGAATGCTTTGCAAAACAGGAAACACTTTTCTGCAAAGAAT